CCCTCCCTCCCTCTCTCCCTCCCTCGCCTCCCCCCCCCCTTCCCCTCCTCCTCTCTCCTCTCTCTCCCTACCTCTCTCCCTACCTCCCTCTCTCCTTCTTTCCTTCTCTCCCTCCCTTCCTTCTTCCCTTCCTTCCCCAATCTATTTGCTTTCTTTGTTTCTCTCTCTCTCTCTCTTTCCATCTCTCTCTTTCTCTCTCAGACAAATATCACTAGCAAGCAAGTAAATATCGCTGGACAAATAAATATCATTATCAATAACTGTTTTTACCCCTTTTGTTTTTATTTTTGACAGTCTCATTTAAAGTTAATAAAAAAGCAGATTTGCATATTTTTCAATAAAAACGTGTGTGCAATATTTGTTCATGTCTCGCGGCTCTCAAACTTCTGATGCTCGTTCTATGCGGCTCTTCTGTTAAGCAAGTCTGGCCACCCCGGCCATAGAGTCCATCTCCCAAAGCGGCCGTTTTCTCCAGGGGGTGTGTGATCTCTTGCTGTCTGGAGATCAGTTGCCACGCCAAGAGATCTCCAGGCCCCACCTGGAGGCTGGCAACCCCCAACAGCAGCTCAGCCACTAGCGGCTAGAGAAGTGTGGACCTGGGAAGGAGGAGTTACAGCCAATGTTCCCTCTAAGCTGTGATGCCTTGTGAGCAAAAATTCTACTTTGTGAGCTGCTGGCATTAAAGTTGTGAGCGAGCGACTTGGCTACTGCATAAATTAGTTTGCTCTGGAGCCCTCCTTCCTGAGCAAAGATAAAAAGGTGTGAGCCGGAGGTTAAAAATCTGTGAGCTAGCTCACACTAACTCAGCTTAGAGGGAACACTGGTTACAGCGCCTCCTGCACCTTTGTGGCACAGAGTTCGCTCGGCTCTAATCTCTGCCGGAGGGAGCAGGGGTCCTTCGTGCATAACCAAACAGAATAATTCATGTGCCCAGGAAGCCCTTCCTGTCCCTCTTCTCCGGCTCAAATTGAATAGTCAAGAGCCGCATCTTTTATTAACAAGGCTTGACAAACGACGCTGCGGATTCCTTCCTGGCGTGTAACCGAATATTGAGATTAATGTTAAACTTCGGCGCTGTGTTTTTAAAACTCAACCCCCACCCCACCCCACCCGTTCTTCCCACAAGCCGACAAAACACAGCCTGGCTTTCTGGTTTGCTGCAGTGCACAAGACCGGGGCGGGCAGATGGGCTTCGTGATGCGCCACTTCGGAAGTAAACATGCAGCATCGGCAAGTCAGTACGAGAGTGAAATCTCCAAGGCCCGCTCGGCTCGAGACCTGCAAAGTTTCTCGTTCGGTTGGTTTGCATTTCAACTCTGTCTCTTCTCTCCCCACCCCACCCCACCCTTTCTGCAGCTGCCATTCTGGACGACCCAATGGAGTGCAGCAGAGGCGAAAGGCTGTCCATCACGCTGGCCAGAAACCGGATCAACCGAGCGCCCGAGCGGGTGGGGAAAGCCAAACTGGAGGTGGACATCTTCGAGCTCCTGAGAGACAGCGAGTATGAGACCGCCGAAACCAGTACGTGCGTCTCTAGGGACCGGGTGGGGAACCCCACGGGGCAGAGTGTCTGAGTTACACCTTTATTTATTTATTTTATTTATATTTAAATGTTTATCCCGCCCTACCCCGAAGGCTCAGGGCAGCTAACACGGGCACCGTGTGCCGAGGTTAAAACAGTAAACACATAGTTTAAAAACAATAAATTACAATACAATAACAAATTTACAAACAGATTTAGACAAGATGGGTAGGTCTTAACCAGGGGTCATTTCGTAGAAAAAGAGCTAGGGGAACTCATTAGCATAACTCATTAGCATATGCCACACCCCCTGACATCAGGGGCCCAGCGGTGGACCTGCAAGGCTGGCGGGAGTGCGAGGAAGCCCTGCAAAGGCGGGGGGGGGGGCTTTGTCATGTGCCCCGCCCCCCTGCACCTCACCCAGGGGAACTGTGTTCCCCTGCGATCCCCCCCGAAATGACCTCTGGTCTTAACTTCCATAACTACTTCCTAAGATCTTATCATCTAAGCTGTACCCAGGTGCCTCGCTCCCCCCTTGGGGGGGCCAGGCAATCATGATGTTAATACGCCAGAGCATAGGGGGCAAAGGTGGAATAGTGGTGCTAATGCTTTCTCTTCTGGAAGCCATTCCTTAATCCCTCATGTCTGGGCACTCCCTGACCCTATGCACACACACATCCCCCCCCCTTGTCTCTGTGTAAAAAGGTAAAGGTAAAGGTTCCCTTGCTCGAAAGCCAATCGAATCCGACTCTAGGGTTGCGGTGCTCATCTCCGTTCCAAAGCCGAAGAGCCAGCGCTGTCCGAAGACGTTTCCGTGGTCATGTGGCCGGCATGACTAAACACCAAGGCGCACGGAACACTGTTACCTTCCCACCGAAGTGGTACCTATTTATCTACTTGCAATTTCTTGCTTTCGAACTGCTAGGTTGGCAGGAGCTGGAACTAGAGATGGGAGCTCACTCCATCATGCGGCACCCGGGTCTCAAACTGCTGAACTACTGACCTTCCACAGCCTGCAGTTCAGCGTCTTAACCACTTGAGCCACCGCAGCTCTGTGTAGACATCCTTAAAATTGTGTACAACATTTTCAGTTTCTGTGCAGAAAGTCGGGCTTATCGGTGGCTGCTGGCTGTCATAGCAAGGAGGCCATCTCCATATTCAGAGGCAGGATGCAACTGACAGGCAAACGCAGCAGCAGGGGGTAGCTGTTGCTGTCATGAATGGCTTGCAGAGCATCCCGAAGCACCTGGAAGACCGGTGCTAGTAAACAGAACGGCCAGCAATAAACAGAATGGCTTCGGGGAAGGATGTGGCCCGCAGTGGCAGAGCGTCTGCTTTGCTTGCAGGAGGTCCCAGGTTCAATCCCCAGCATTTCCAGTGGAAAGGATCAGACAGGAGGTGATGTGAAAGACCTCTCTGCCTGAGAACCGGGAGATCTGCTACCAGTCTGCCTAGACAGTACTGGCCTCGGTGGACCAAGGCTCTGATTCAGCAGACTGCAGCTTCATAGGTTCACTGATCAGAAGAGTGTCGGCCTTGAAACTCGTCTCAGCTAGCACAGAAACTCTTTGAGTAGCACTCACAGAATCGTAGAATCACAGAGTTGGAAGGGGCCACAAAGGCCATCTCGTCCAGCCACCTGCTTAGTGCAGGATCAACCTAGAGCATCCCTGACAAGTGTCTGTCCAGCCGCTGCTTGAAGACTGCCAGTGAAGGGAAGCTCACCACCTCCCTAGGCAGCTGATTCCACTGCTGCACAACTCTGACTGTCGAAAAGTTTTTTCCCTGCCGGTACCTTCCCGCCCTTAATTTCAACCCATTCTTGCGAGTCCTCTCCTCTGCTGCTGACAGGAACAGCTCCCTGCCCTCCTCTAAGTGACAGCCCTTCAGATACTTCAAGAGAGCAATCCTGTCCCCCCTCAACCTCCTCTTCTCCAGACTGAACATTCCCAAGTCCCTCAGCCTTTCCTTATAGGGCTCAGTCTCCAGGCCTCTACCTGGGCCACTCGAATGCAGAAGAATAAAACATCCACAAAGACTAAAGCCTAGACCCACATGCATAAGAACATGGGGGCTTCTGATACGCTCAGGTTCCATAAAGCTAAAGTGCAGAAAGTTCACCCCTGGAGGTATATCCTCTGAGATCTATGTGCCACAGGCACCATTCCCCCCCCACACACTCCGTCTCGCCCCAATTAGACATATCCTGTGGTCCCTTCTGTACATGTTTATTGCTAGAAGCAACCAGATTGGAACCAACGGGATTACTCACAACATTAAGTCTCATGCTTGGCGGCAGAATCAAAGAGACCGCCAGTTTGGTGTCGTGGTTAAGTGCGCGGACTCCAATCTGGGAGAACCGGGTTTGATTCCCCACTCCTCCACTCGCGGCTGGTGGGAGACCTTGGGTAACCCATAGTTCTGACAAGAGCTGTCCTGGAAAGAGAGCAGTTTCTGTCAGAGCTCTCTCAGCTCCGCCTACCTCACAGGGTGTCTGTTGTGGGGAGGGGAAGGGAAAGGAGTTTGTAAGCCGCTCTGTGACTCCTTTGGGTAGTGAAGGGCGGGGTATAAATCCAATCTCTTCCTCTTCTTCCTGGCCTAAGCTGAGCTTCCATGGCAGAACAGAGTCTTCAACTCTTAACTACAACACCACACTGGCTTTTCTGGGACAGCTGCTGTCAAACAGTAGCAAGCAGTCAGGCCTGGGTGAGTCCCGCAAACCCAGTGTCAGCAAATAAATCCTCCTCCTTCTGCATTCGAGTGGCCCAGGTAGAGAGTTTGTAAGCCGCTCTGTGACTCCTTTGGGTAGTGAAGGGCGGGGTATAAATCCAGTCTCTTCCTCTTCTCTTCTTCTATGTGGGTCTTGAGCTGTGACGGCGCCCTAAGGACGTAGGTTGGCCGTAACTGCCTGACTGTGTAATGTGGTTTGATCATGACCTTAGAAGGTGCCCGTCCCCCTGAAGCCGAGTCCCTCTTTACATCTGTGAAGAACTTATGAATAAAGACCATGACATTTCCATCACCAAGTTGTCTTGCCGTGTCAAGCACGTCTAGACTAGAAAGGTGGCTGTGATTTTAAAACATGTCACCGCCGTGCGCCAATTAACATGCTGTAAACACACTGCTTGGAACCTGAGTGCAAAGTTGATGGACCTTTTGAAGACGTTATTGGTGTGGCGCTTTAGAATCTTGATTTAATGGGGGGGGCTTCCTTTTTTAACAGGATTTCTCAACCAAGATGAATGGCGTGAATCGCCACTTGCGTGTTGCTTTTCAAACTGACTTCCTTGCTTTCCTCTGGGTGGGTGATAGATCCATTCAGAATACTGCTGGCCATGACTTCAGAAGTCAGAGTCCTTTTCACACTGGAGACTGAATGTGCAGATGGGGAAGATGCAGCATTGCGCATGCAGGTTCCGCCTGTGCACCTGGCCCTCGCCCTACAGTTGGAGACCCCTTTTCCTCCCGGGATTCCTAACTACATGGAGAAATGTCCCCCATGCACACTTTTATATGCCCCTAGGCAGGGCTCTTTTTGTAGAAAAAGCCCAGCAGGAACTCATTAGCATAGTAGGCCACACCCAACAGTGAAACTCATTAGCATATTAGGCCACACCCTGATAGCACATCACATTAGCCTATTAGGCCACACCCCATGTTACCAGAAGTGTGGTCATCCAGCCACACCCACCTTTTGCTTCTTATTCTATTTACTTTGTTTATTGTCCAACCAGGGCTCTTTTTGTAGCAGGAACTTCTTTGCATGTTAGGCCACACACCCCTAATGTAGACAATCCTAATAAGTTCCTGCCGTTGGGTGTGGCCTATTATGCTAATTAGTTCCTGCTGGGTGTGGCCAACGTGGGAGCCAGCCGGAACTCCGTTCCTGTGCATTTATTCCTGCTCAAAAATAGCCCTGAAAGGATCTTTGTATCCCTAACCTGGAAGGCCCAGGCTAGCCCGATCCCGTCAGATCTCGGGAGCTAAGCAAGGTCAGACCTGGCTGGTACCTGGATGGGAGACGACTGAAGAGAGCCAGTTTGGTGTCATGGTTAGGAGTGCAGACCAGTGTTCCCTCTAAGCTGAGTGAGTGTGAGCTAGCCCACAGTTTTTTAGCCTCCAGCTCACACATTTTTGCCTTCGCTCAGGAAGGGAGGGCTCCAGAGCAAATTGATTTATGCCATAGCCAAATCGCTCGCTCACAACTTTAATGCCAGGAGCTCACAAAGCAGAATTTTTGCTCACAAGACTCCACAGCTGAGAGGGAGCATTGGTGCAGACTCTAATCTGGGAGAACCAGCTTTGATTCCCCACTCCTCCACATGCAGCTGCTGTTATGACCTTGGGTCAGTCATAAGTTATTTCAGAGCTGTTCTCTCAAGGACAGTTCTCGAGAGAGCTGTCTCAGCCCCACCTACCACGCAGGGTGTCTGGTATGGGAAGGGGATTGTAAGCCGCTCTGAGCAGACGTCGATTCGGGGGGATCGCGGGGGATCGCCATTCCCCCGGGTGAGGTGCAGGGGCGGGGCACACACCGAAGCCCCGCCCCCTGCTTCTGGCCACCCCGCTTCCGGCCCTCATTCAGCCAGAAGGAGGCAGGAGAAGAGGGAGGGTAAGTTGCTTCCTCCCTGCCTCTCCCCACCCCTGCCTGCCTGGGGCCAGGGAGGGCCTTGGCGGGGCTTCCTCACACTCCCGCTGGCCTTGCAGGTCCACCGCCGGGCCGATATAATATATAACCGGGAATCACCGTATCCCACTGATTTTCCTCATCCCACCAAGTTTCTGAAATACCCACAATGTCTATTTTTCCCTCCAACTCCAAGCACTCCAACTCCCCGATTTTACCTCGGATCCTTCTAGCATTTGTGTAGAACAGCCTGCAACCTTCCTCTTGCTTCATTCATGTGATGCTACTTCCTTTTACTTGCCCAATGTTTGCGCAGTCTCCATGGATAAGTTAGGTCGAAAGGGCCAAAGATTTCTTATAGAAGAGGTTTCT